TCCTCATGCTCTTCCCCTGCTCCAGGTAGTAGTCCCTCCCGTGGGAGACAGTCCTTCCCAAACTTCTCGAGCATGGGTCCTTCCCATGGGCTGCAGTCTTTCAGGAACAGCCAGCTCCAGCATGGATCCCCCGTGAGGCCACAGGTCCTACCAGCCAACCTGTTCCAGCGTGGGCTCCTTTCCATGGGATCACAGGTCTTGCCAGGAGCCTGCTCCAGCACAGGCTCTTCACAGGGTGACAGCCTCTTTCAGGCATCCACCTGCTCCAGCATGGAGTCCTCCATGGGCTGCTGGTGACTATCTGTTCCACTGTGGACCTCCACAAGCTGCAGGGGAACAGCCTGCCTTACCATGGTCTTCACCACAGGCTGCAAGGGAATCTCTACTTCGGCACCTGGAGCACCTCCTCCCCCTCCCTCTTCACTGACTTTTGTGTCTGCAGAGTTGCTTCTTTCGCATTTTTCTCACTCCTATATCCCAGATGCTGTTGTGCAGCTTTTTTACCCTTTCTTAAATATAGAATCATAAAATAGTTAGAGTTGGAAGGGACCTTAAAGATCATTGAGTTCTAACCCCCCTGCCATGGGTTACCACAGAGGTGCCACTAGTGTCACTCATGGGCTCACCTTTGGCCAGTGGTAAGTCTGTCTTGGAGCCGTCTGGAACTGCCTCTGTCTGACATGGGGGCAGCTCCTGGCCTCTTCTTACAGAAGCTGTGAACACCCTTGCTACCAAACTTTGCCACATAAACCCAATAGAGACATAGACATCAGCACACAGAAAGCAGTAGAAACAAATACCATCCAAGTGATTAAGTCACACATAAGAATGACTGCCCACACGGATTCTTGGCTTCCCAGGCAAGAGCCTTTCCCACAAAATTCAATGTTAAAGGCTCAATGAAATCCTCTTTGCATTTCTTTTTCCTTCAGGGCATAACATCGCTGAAATCTCCTCTTTCACCTGACACTTGAATAGCCAGGAACCCACTACACTTGACATTAATGGGTAGGGCTGTGATTGATTACTCTTGTGGGGTTTCATGATGAGAACAGAACTTCAGTCCCCTCAGAACAACTGCTCTACCCAAATAAACTTGTCATTTTTTATTTTTATGTTCTCACCTCTCATGAAAATGGAGAACCTACAGCTAAAAATAAGAGTAACAGATACCCACAGCATAGGATCCGCATATTCTAGTGTGTCAAGGATAAAGCATTTCTAAGGCTCTAGACAGAATCATAAAGGAAATGTGCTGGGCTTAATTCTCTCATAATTACCAATTCATGACTTACTGTCCTGGGGTATGTTTGTGCTGGTGTAGACAGCTGATTCACAATCTATTCTTTGCTTATGTATTACTAAGTTCTATTTTGAGAAATCAAAAGGAACTGAACTGGTGCATAAGCCCTGGGGACTGAAAAGAATGGCAGCAGAGCCGGAGGAATCCCAAACTGCCTACTCTCTCTTTCTCTCAAGGACTGCCATATAATACACCCACCTTTTTTTTTTTTTTTTTTTTTTCCAAATGGGCTTGATATATAAAACCAATTACATACCATGTGATGTGTGGGTGCTTAATGTTTGGCTGGGATAGGTTACAGCTCTTTGCATTCCCTCCTACAAACACACCAAGAACTGGCAAAAGTATTTATAAAGGCTGGGCAGTATAACATCCCTTAAGCAGAAAGCATCACACTGGGGCAATAGTACATGGCCAGTTGCAGTTTACGTGCAGCAGTAAAACTGGTCACAGTAATCAAAGCTTTTTAATTTGAAAGCACAAGAAATTGCTCAAAAATAAAACTTTTCAAATTAAAAAACCCAAAAGGATTTGAATCTTTCTATCGAGTGTCTATATAGAAATTAAAGGTTTATTTTCTAAATGCTGATACAAAATCATTCTTTTTTGTTTTGAATTAGTGTGACTCAGCATTTCACTTTATTAAGTTAATTTCAAATCCACATTTCACAATTTTGCTTTGAAAAATAATTAAAAAAAGCTTTTAAATAAACAATGTCAGAGCAATTATTTTCAGTATTTCCATATTTTATGAGCAGGGTTTTCCCCCTACATTTTGATTTTTTCATTTCAACTTGAATGAGAGAACAAGGCAAAATGAAGAATTTTCTAGAACATGTTTTGAAACCATCTTTACATCTATCAGATGTAGCACTGAGGGACATGGTTTAGTGGTAACTTGGCAGTGGACTTGATCTTAAAGGTCTCTTCCAAGCAAAACAATTCTATGATTCTATCTGCAGCCTTGCAGCTCTTTTGATTTTAGAATAGAATGGACTAGACTAGAATATTTGCAGTTGGAAGGAACCTATAACAGCCACCTAGTCCAACTGCCTGACCACTTCAGAGCTGACCAAAAGTTAAAACATATTGTTATGGACATTGTCCAAATACCTCTTAAACACTGACAGGCTTGGGGCAATGACCACCTCTCTAGGAAGCCTGTTGCTTCATAAGATGCTAAGAGAAGACAACCTACTATGAAGGATTGATTGATTTTCCTTTCCAAAAGAATAAACGAAACAAACTGGGAAAAAAGCTGGTAAGAATATTCCACACTGTATCACAGCTGGGAAGAAAATATTCTGTGCTCCTAAAATAGAGATTGTAGTATACACTTCCCACTGATATCAATAATCTTTTCATTAGTTCCACTATCATGAAAGACCAAATTTCTATAGAAGTTAAAGAGAAGGATAATTTGGTATTGATGAGGCACTAAATTCCTAAATCCTTGCAGTTTCTGGCTGACACAGTTCTTGAGAGAAATCAGAATGGTCTATATACAGAAAAAGAGAAAACAAAAACCTAGAATATAGTTCTAATGGTCATAAATCTACAGATTTTTAGAATTTATTTTTCTTATCTGAGAGGACTATGATGTTAAGAATAACTATGACTTTGAAGTACTACATGGGAGTTATTCCTATCAAAGCTCCAGGACACTTCCCTGATTGTGTCTGCATGATTTAAGGATTCTGACACACAGCAAAATACAGACTAAATATTAAAACATGCACTTGCTGGCTCTAATTCTTACATACAAAAATCACTGAGAGATTGTGTGAGTCAGAGTAAAACTGACACATATCTCAGTGGTACGCTACGTTTTTCATAATTTAAGTGTGCTAAATATATCTAGACTCAGATAAGAGAAACATTTTTACACAATCTGCAAGAGAGGGGCCTCCACTGTTCTTCCTTACCTCAAGCAGTTTTCAGACCTAATACATTTGAAAAGTTTCTTTGATTAAAGATAGAGAGCCACATGCTCTCCTGATTTACACTTTATATAATAACCTTGCTAAGGAAAAATCAGTTTTAAGGCAGATACGACATTTCTGACCCCACCGTGTTGCTTCTAAGTAGTTATACCCTTTCACATGATAGTTAAGAGATCTGTAAAGTGTATTGCCTATGAAACCCCAGCTGCTGTGTAGAAGTTCTTCAAGAAGGCTATATTTTGCAGGAGTAAGTAAGCAGGAAGTGCCAGACTCACCCAAGTAATTCAGCAGAGAAGCTTGGGACAAACTGCAGTAAATCAGATAGGTGTTACTAAAAACGAACTGCAGGCTGGTGTTATAAATGTATGCATACTAAGTAGGTTGCAAAGCAAAGAAGAGGCACTTGCAAGTGTGAAAAAGCTCCCTTGATATGTCCAGGGATAAATACACCAAGAGGGCAGCAAGGCATGTTAGGTTTTGTGCTCCCAGCTCTGTGAAACATGGTTTAACTTGTCCACCGGTCCCTGCCCTGGGTCACCTCCCTCCCGCCCAGCTTCAGCAGCACCACACATGCCAGCACACCTTTGGACTCGCCAAATTTTGGCCAAAGGCCAATGTAAGAGCTCTGCGTGCTCTGTAACCTGTACTCCAGCAGTTTAAGCAGGTTGGGGTTTTGTTTGCTTTGGTTTTCCTCAACTACAGGAGTATCTATTTCAACTCAAGAGAAAAGCAACTATGTGCAGAACAAAGAGGATCACAGCATGAATGCCAAACACACTGCAAATCTTGCAATCAAGATCAGGTAAATCCATTTCAATACTGGCAGCACCTCTAGCAAACCACAAAATATTGCTAAAAGCCAGATACGGCTCTACAGACATGTGGATAATTATATTTTACATAACTGACAAAGATAGGACTCCTTCTAGAACTAAAATCAAAGTTATTTAAGGAACAGAAGTGTCTATCATGTTATGACTAATCCTGTAATAAAGAATACCAATTATTGGTAATGATACAATTAAGTGTTGTCCATACTTACACACTGAAGTAAAAAGCGAAAGGGGGAATTCTTTGGCTTTTTCAGTAGAAATCAGATAAATGTTGAATGTGCAAACTCACCATTTTTAAATACTAAATCAATTAAAAACACTATCAGAAGTTTAATTTCAGTGTAGAAGAAGTTATACACTTTTCAAATTAATTTCATTTGTATAAAAACCAGGCATTGACTTATTCGTCTTGTCAACCTGCTTAAATCACTTCTTAAACATTTTGAGAGTCTGCAAAATATTTGAGCTGAACATGAAATCATTTGATATATGTGTATTCGATAAAGTCATATGTTTCACCAGTTTCCTTAATAGCTAAAGTTTATATATGACTCCAGTTAATAAGTCTGATTCAACCTCTCTTAAAAAAATGCTATAGATTTTTCTCTGCAAAAAGACTGCTCTCCTTTCTAAAGATCAATTTCACCAGTAAAACAAAGAGCAATTTCATTGGACATTACAGCTCTCTTTAAATCTTGGGCTCCATAGATCCAGACCTATAACCCCTATACGTGCTGACTCTCAGTATGATCACTGGCATGAATATGAATTTGCAACAGTGGCTGCAGCAACACTGGCATAATCTGCAAAAGACACCAAGGCTTGTACTGTCCCTGTCAGAACCCCTGGAAACATCTTTCTTGATTGGAATGAAATATTTTTGCAGTTCCTATTTTATTTGGAAAATAACAGATTTCTTACCAAAAAATATGATCTTTTGAAACTCGTTCCTGCAAAAGGATCCATTTTTTCCCCAAGTCAATGGATACATAAACCTACCAAAGGAAAAAAAAAAAACAAACATAAAATCAGATGAAAGGAATCTGTTAATGTTGTACATCTGCAAAGACAGGCCCTATGTCAGTATTAAAATGACAGATGGCACACCAATTAAAAAAAAAAAAAAAAAATCATTACCAGGAGCTCTCTATAATGTTTTTCAGAGTAATAACCTTTCATAGAGAGAATCTTTTAAAATATAGTATATAATGAACAAAACTCAGTGACAATGTCTTCTTGATTACCATGAAAACAGTTCGCTGTTCCTTTTGGGCCAGATTCTTTTTTACTTCAGCATGATTACACAGAGGACTGGTAAAAGGACACTTTTCTTCCTCTTCTTCCCAGTCATTGACCAAACAAGTACAAATACTCCCTTTATGTTTCAAGCCTTTATTCCACCAAAAAATACTTAAGCTAGGAAATCAAGGGATTTAAAAGACTGCTAAAATAAGACCAAAAAATATTAGAGAAATGCTTAAGAGACTCGATGAGGAGAGATGCACTTAAGTGCTTGCTTCACGGATACCAATTTATGACCCATGAGAAATGGTCACTGAGCAGAGAGGCAGATGACGGCCTGGAGGAGGAGGTCTCCAGCTCCACCTTCTTTTTGAACAGTTCACCCCTGGTAAAAAAGCAAATGCTAATATGGATGGATATTAAGAGTGCAGATGAAAGCTGTTTTCCTTCAGAATAAAGTGGGATATAAAATAGCTATTCAAAAATCTCACTCCTTCAGCATTTGCCTTCATAATGTTTTTCCTCTGGTTGAAATACAAAATATCTATCAGACTTCTAAAAAGACAGATTTAAAGCCCCCTGCTGTCTGCATGCATTTCTTATTTGATCCAATTTACATATGATGGGGTTTCTCTTAATATCTCTAATAGGGAAAAAAAAAGGCAAGTAAAACTGTTCTTCTCTGATGTGGGAATAAGTCACAGTTCAGTCGCTGATTGTTCTGGGGGAAGAGTGTCTTATGAGGATTAGTAAGAAATGTTTTTGTTTTAAAATGACAGGTTCAATGACAAATCAAAAAAAAAAAACCCACCATGGTTATGTATTATGTTTTACTATAGAAAACTGGCAATATTAATGTAAAAGATAAAGACTGAGGTAACTTAGCATAAACTCTATGGGTAAATTTACTAAAATTTTGAATTAGAGATAAGAGAGCATTTACCAACTACTCTGCACTTCACAATGACTGGGTTTTGTTCCACTGCATGCTCAATTTAAGCAGGTAGACCACAGGGTAAGAAACCACAGTCAGGACTGAGATTGCTTACTGCAGCGCTCACCCAGTCAATGCATAGACAGAAATGATCAGGGATCAAAAAATCTTCAACCTCAGAGCTAAATGCGTTAATGATGGGGCTGCAGAGCCAGGCTCCTGATTTGCCTGCTAACTCTCTGATCTTAGGTTTATTATGTGGGTTAGGGTTTGCTGTAACCAGTATATTTTACAGCACGTAGCTCTTGGGAGGGAGGGATGTGGCTTGGAACGCACTAGACTGTGCAAGTAAGAGAACTTAAGCTTCTTATTTCTTCAAACATTTATCACCACAGGCACTACAGAAAAGATAATCATTGGTTTGACCATCTTTCTAAAAGGGTGGACCCTTCTCAGCTAGTTACCAGCCTCAGCAGACCACTATAAATCTGGAAGAGCTGATCATTTAATGCACTGCCCTAACCCTGGTGTCCAAGCTGCAAAGAAAGCCAAGAATTCAAGAGATTCCTGGCATGAGGGAAAAGAGCTATTTAGGATAAGGGACAACACTGGAAAATTAATAAAGGGATATAATTTTTTCATGGATGAATTTCAGAAGCAAATGAGAGAAGATTCCTGCCATTACAACAGTGATGTCTGTGCAGTAGGGGCCAAAAAAGATCAAATGAAATCCCCACCACCAAACCCAAACTGCCTGCCCTCACATACATTTAAGACTAAAGTCTGGGAGCTTATGAATGAACAGTTTAGTTTAGTGTAAAGGGAAGCTCTTGCAATCTTACTGTAAGGGAGAGTGAAGTAGCACTGATAAGGCACATCCAGACCGAGAGGAATTTTTAACTGACACACTATTTGAATTAAAAAAATAAATAATGTGTACCCAGCTTAAGTACACATTCAACTTCATTTAATTAAAAACTATGACCCATATGTGACCCAAATGTGTTTTGTTTTTTAACAGGTACATATGATGAAACTACTAAACATGATTAGATATGAGGTGAAAACAGTTATGTTAGTGGATAGCTAAAATTTCTGGCTTCAGCAAATACATCTAATAGATGGTAGAATTCTGTTTATTGCCACTCATGTAATAAATGTGTGGAATGGCTTTTTAAAAAAATTGAAAAGGCTTTTCTCAGTTTTGCCATTTTTCATCCTTTCAGCCTCCAAATGAACAATTAAAATCTACTGCATTCCCATCGAGTTTAAAAAAAAAATATCTAGAAACATTTATATAGACTCAGTGAATAGCTGATTGTTATTCATTATAACTGAGATAGCCAGAAAAAGAAAGTATAGATTTGAGGCAGTAAATGGATTAATACAACCATATTGACTGGATTTGCATTCATTTATAGTGTCAGCTAGAGGCTAGAGCTTTATTTAAACAAAATCTAGGGTTCTGAATGAAAGAAGAATGCATATTTTGCAAATACAAAATAAGTCCTAAATTAAATCAGAAGTTGTGAGAAAAGCCATGATGCTCCAGTAGACAGAGAAGTCTGATTACTATTTATGAAGGATGAGATCCCGTATTTCTTATATTCTTAAAACTGTGATTGTAAGAAATCATGTGAGTAACAGGAGGTTATGGTTATCTAAAGCTCCTGAGTTTTAGATTGATACTACTTTCTTTTGGTGAAGGTAAAGTATACTAGAATATACCATTTCCCTAGGCCAAATTCAGATCAACACCATCTCTGAGGAACGTTGATATCTTTTTATGTGATGTTGCAATTTTGATTCTCAGCTCCTCCTTTGCCAACATCACTTCATATTATTCTCCCCCATAGGCCAAATATATCAGATCTTCTACAAAATCTAAGCAGGTTACTGACATAGTTATAATCAAAGGCATCCTTTAGTCCTGCACATATTAGGTAAAGATGTGAGACTTAACCAGTCTTTATGTTTGACTCCTTTTAGCGCCATGGTGAAAGCCTGAGAAAAGTCCATCAGGTTACCTAACCCTTCCTGCTACTCCTACAGAGCTTTACTGAGTATTTTGTAGGTTTTTTTGTCCAATCACATTTTAAGAGTCTAGGGAAGTCACTAGGGAAGTGATTGTACCACTATACTCAGCACTGGTGAGGCCACACCTTGAGTACCGTGTTCGGTTTTGGGTCCCTCACTGCAAGAAAGGCGTTGTGATGCTGGAGCACATCCAGAGAAGGGAACAAAGCTGATGAGGAGTCCACAGGACAAGTTTTATGAGGAGTGGCTGAGGGAACTGGGATTGTTTAGCCTAGAGAAAAGGAGGCTGAGGGGGGACCTTATCGCTCTCTACAACTATCTGAAAGGAGGTAGGCTCTTCTCCTAAGTAACAAATGATAGACAAGAGAAAATAGCTTCAAATTGTGCCAGGGGAGGTTTAGGATGGATAGCAGAAAAAATTTCTACACAGAAAGGGTTATCAAACATTGGAACAGGCTGCCTAGGGGAATGGTTGAATCGTCATCCCTGGAGGTATTTAAAAGTCAGGTAGACATCTGGTTTAGTGGTGGTTTTGGCAGTGTTAGGTTAATGGTTGGACTCCAGTGATCTGGAGTCCAGTGATTTAAAGGTCCCTTCAAACCTAGACAATTCTATGATTCGGTCATTGAAATCAGTGCCGTATTTAGCTGTAGCATGAACAACTTCAACTAATCTCACCACCTAAATACACACCTGATGTGAAGTCTGACAAGGATTAAAATGAAATGGAGTTTACTAATTTCAGTTTAAAACAGGAGTAACGACAGAGGTGAGTCAAGACCACTGCCAGGACCAGAATCACAGTGACTTTGCAACTGCAGTTTTGGGACTGTGAAAAAGAAATGAACTACACCTTTACAGACTGTGTGAGCACTCATCAGTGCTTAGCCTAACCCATTCACAAAAATGGCTTTATAATTCAATCAAAAGAAATCTGAAAGACGGCTAAAATTTACAAACCCTGCGATGCAAGTCCTGAATCAGAAAGTGGTATAAACACAAAAGAGAGAATTATTCTACATTTCTACAGATTCGCTGTTTCCCCAACTCCTCTTCTGCTGTACGACTGCGCTGTTTATTTTATACTACTTTATTTTACATCTCATGTACGGCCTTTGGATGCACTATTTCAGCTTCATTAAATTTCTACTGCACTATAAATGACAATGTAATTGCTTATGGTCACTTTCTAGGGAGGAGCATGTTGCAGAGGTACTATATAACTATATTGTGCAGAAGGATAAATATTACCAATATCCACATAAACTGAAAAAGCCACAATTGAAATGGCTGTATAAACAAAGATTTGGAGATGAAGAAAATAAATATTTAAATAAACCTCAAAACCAGAATATGATTCCCTTTCTGGGAAACTGATATGTCATAAAACCCAACATCAGCATATCAGAACTGTTATTCGTATCTCCTTAACAAAGTAATTCCTAAATGTCAAACAAATGCTGTATCTTCAAGCTTTACCTTGCCTTCCTTGGTGTAAGCAAGTACTTTATCTTCTTCTTTCGGGTGAAAAAGGAGAGTTTCCACAAAGAAAGTAATGGGTTGTTTCTGGAAGGTGGCTCCTTCATCCGTGCTTATGAAAAGGCTTTGGTCACGGTCATTATGGGAAGAACTTACAAGAATAATCTAAAAGACAAAAACAACAACATATATTCAGACATCACAGCCATATTTTTCTTGCATAAAAGTCAGATTTTGTACATACCTTACCTATCAAAATTTTGTGGACAAGAAATTCAAAAGCATGAAAGAGATAAGGACTGCAAGATCCTATTAATCTTCCCTGACCAAATCTGTCTATGTTAAATTCTATAACTTCTCTTGCAAATCACATAAAATTGATCACAATCCTCATCTTTACTCAAAATGACTGCCTTGAATTTTGGTTCTCTACAAGGTTCATGAGGCCACATGAGAAAACCTTCAGAATAACCAAAAAAGAATTAATACTAGTAATGACTCATTTTAGCATGTCCATATAAATACATCACTTTGCCTAGCGAGGCTGCCTTTATAAATACTAAATGTAAAAATAATCACTGTTACAGTTAGAAGAACAACCCAGGAGAAAGAACTAGTTTCTAACATTGCTTCACCATTCTCCTCCTCCTGACACAGTTTGGGTAAAATGGCAATTCACTTTGATACAGAAAAATATGCCCATCAATTATGCCCATTTCTTTCTCAGGTACAGATAATACTTTGATTCAACCACACTAACAGCTTGAGCTGTCTGCTTGCATGAGCTTCATGTCATGGTATCAGCAACAAACAAATTATCCCCACATAATTTAACCACAATTTCACTATTTTTCAACTTCTTCACCTTTTGCAGTTGTCTAGCATCTTAGGGGTGGTTCTAAAAATGCCAATGTGAGAATCCATTTTTATTGTCTTTCCAGATCAAACAGGTCCAGTCTGCATTCAAAAAAAGTGCCTTTATCAACTGATAGCCTACAAATAAAACATGGATTTTCAAAGTCCACTTGGGCTCTACTTGGCTCACACTTCAAAAACAATTAAAAAATAAATAAATCCTGAATTGAAAATGTATTTAGAATATTCAGCAAATGATTTAGAAGTCAACACAGAATCCTGATCGGTGTGATACAGTGACTGTAAATTGCTTGCAGAGATAAACGGCCACGAGTTTTGCAAACAGAATTACAATAACTTGAACACAGAGAAGGAAATATATTAGGCAAAACAGTACAATTTTTATTTAGTAATTTTTTTTTTTTTACAGTAAAGCTGAAGTTAAAGATTTGAAATTCCTAATGAATTACACAGATATGACAGCTGGACTGAGCTTTTACTGCAATTGGTCTTGGGGGAAAACTATACCACATTTGTAGATGCTGTAATTTGACAGGTTACTTAAACATATGCACTTGTACTTGAGGCACATACACAGCTGCACTAATTTCTGCAGAGCTTATATATACTTAAAATGGGGCACATAGTGAAATACGTTGTTGAACAAGAGAGAGAATTGGGTCTTACTTCATGGTCTGTGGTCCACTGCTGAAACCCTACACTAAAGCATATATTAAGCCAAACCTATTTCTATTAGCTGTGTGACTAGGTCAGTAAGATCACAATAAGAGCACATAATGTTGCTATGATCTTGTATTTTTTAACTATATGCTTTACCCTAGAGTAGGAAATTTGAAAGCTTCTATAAATGCCACCTACAAGAATGCCATCTCTTATTCCACCTGTATCCAATGGCCTCCATAAACTCTTCAAATAGTAGCTGTTTCATTTATTACTGTGTACACTCCAAGTATGCTGCTGGTGACCTACATATAGCATTCAAAGATTCTTGTAACACACTCAATTTGGCAGATTTTCTGCAGAGGGCACGGCACCAACCTAAAATTGAACATGCTGCCCTGTCCCTTTGCTTGTGTTGCAAGGTGGAGCGAAGAAGCATTTACACCCAGCACTGAGATTTTCATTTTCCTTGCCACACTGCCATCTGCAACTCAGGGTCAAATGTCTAGCTTTTCTTGGAAATAAATGAATTCAAACTATCTGCATGCTAAGCAAGCTATATAGTGCTCCTTCCTGTTGGTCCCTGACCAGATGACGGAAAGTGAAGGACCTGGTCCTGTGCTAAACTCCACAAGCAAAAGGCTGCAACGTGGGCTCCACAATTCCTGCTGAAGTTTGTGGCCAGGCACATCCTCACATATTAACACGTGCACAAGGCTGGTCCTGAGACCCATGCTTAGCTTGCAGCTAAGTCCTTCCATGCTGTATCGCTAGAAGCAGTACAGCAGTGATTCCATAGACAAAGCTTAATATCTTTTGATACAGTTTTCTAGTCCAAATAACACATTCTGTAAATATCCTTATCTTCACTATCTCCTGCCAATGTTTTAAAAAATGTATACAGCTAAGACAACAAATCAGTAGGGCATATACTCCAGAAAAGGCATAAACTGCACTCGTACAGAACAGTAATCTCTGGACAACAGTGCTATTGTCTTCCTTTCTTTTTCTGATCCAACAGATCTTACACTTCCAAAAATACCAAAAAGATTGGCTTCAAAATAATAAAGGAATGAGGTTTATAAATTTGGGAGTGGTTTTCACTGTTAATGAGCCTTTAGATTAGGCACATCTAAGTTTTATAACAAGGACCCAAGAGCATCTTGCAGAGAACGTCATTCTAGAAACTGAAGTTGTAAGAAAAATGCTAGCTATAATGAAATGCAAACATGCTGTGATATTTGCTAATGCTGTCCTTCAAAAATATTATGTATCTTTCCGACTTAAAACTATCAGAAAAAAAAATAGCCTAAAGATGGTAGATGTCTAAGCATATATGGCAGAGTCCCTAACTATACTTTTATTCACACACACAGCATAATTCATTTAATGAAATATTTTTTCAATTTCACTCAGTGTTCTGATTTATATTTCAATAGCTTAAACTGATCATTATGTGCCAGGCATACAGATTTGCTTCCCACAGCTAACACACTGGGTGCTCAGGCTTGCCTGCTGGCTAACACTACTTACTGAGAAAAATATTCCAGAGTAAATATTGTATCCACATTAAATGCTTTCCATAACAAGTTTTATTTACTTTGTAAGTGGAACAAATAGCAAAACCTTCCTGCTAGCAACTGATGAAGGGATGCAACTGGGACATGCTATCTGGAGAGCTGACTAACTGTGATTGCTGAGGGTTTTAACTCAAAATAAATAACTACTTGCTTGAATAATTGTGTATCCAAAAAACAGAACAGCTTTTAATCACATCTAAATTTCACTTAAGCTTCTTTTAAACAACTTTTTACACAGCATTTCTCCCTCCTGTGAGACTATCCTAATATTTTTTTAGTAAATCGTAACTTTATATTATGCTGTTTATCCCTGGCCTCACTTCTTAATCTCCCATCAGTTTAATTTCCCATCAACCACAATAATACATAAATACATTCAGATCAGATGTAAATCTACAACTTTCAATAGTCAAGCAGAGGTAAAAGAATATTTCAAGGAGATAAACTATCCCATGGATTGTAAAGAAAATGAGTAAAAATAGACTATGTTATAGAAGCACAGGGAGGAAAGCAAAAAAAAAAAAAAGATTTCTAATAAAAATGAAAAATACTGCATCATGCCAACATATGAATTAAAGCATTCCAAAAATATAGAAAGGCTATGCTTTTCTTCATTTCAGGAAAAATTAGTGAGGCAGGAGGGAATATAAAAGCCAAATAAATCTGAAAATAACATAATTAAATCCATTTATTTAATCTCTCTTTCAGGACTGATTGGCCAACGTGCATATCTAACCATTCCCTCTACTGGGTAGAGTCAAAATCTGAACCCCAAAGGACAAAAAGACTCTGACAGCTTAGGCTACAGTAGCTTGTGTATCATACTTCTTCTTCCCACTATTACCAAGAAGACTTGGAATAATCATAGTGATTACTAGGGAGACTTAACTGCAGATTTGGCAGCAATTCAAAGCTATGCTGTAATTTCAAGTGGCAATAAACACAGGATATTAACATGCATCATTTGCACTGTGTCTGAAATATAACCCCCCTCCCCTTAGTTTAGGTCCAATCAAAATGTAAACTCAAGATAAATTTGATCTTAATCAGCACTTTCTCTAAAACAAAGCAATCTTCTAAGATATTACAATTGCACTCTTTCAGCTTCAGCAACTGATATTAATTTTAATTCTAGCTTTTATTTTCCTTTCCATACTTTTAGTATTAAAATAGGGGGGGGGAAAAAGTCAAAACTTCCATCATGAAAATATTTCTAGATTTACAGCATCTGACTTGCCACAGGAGATGTGTGCAGTAAGCGTTGAGAGAGATGAGACACGCCGTTTTACTATTCTATAATCCTGCATATGGTCAGAAATCAAGATACCTGATATTCCTGAGCACTCCAAACTGACTTTGAAGGAAGAAACATCCCTTGGGCTAAGCAAGAAATCAAAATACAGGAACTCTAGATTTAAGCACAGACCACCCATGGACTGAGAGGCCAAGCATGCCCAGGAAGCACCACACCTCTACAGTCACCTCCAGTAGACTGAACTCCCACGGACATAGAGGATTTGGCTATGGGGATGCAATCCTAAAGAGTGCTGGACTCCCTCCAGCAAAAACCTTAACGATCCAAACTTATGAGCCATCCCCACTAAGGTCAATTAGCTTCCATTAAGAACATGTAGTGTTAATAACTAGATGAAGGTTCTTGGCTAAACTGGAGACAAGGTTGCTGGGCACAGGACAGCACCAAACTCCTAGTGATACCATCACATAAACCCGCATGCCTACATGAGTGTTGAAGATAAACAGTCTTTGTGGCAATCCTGCCAATCTCGGGGCAGTATTCATAGAGCTTCATAGCACTGCTGTCACTCCCTCAACATTTTTCAGATTAAGTAACTAACTCATCTATTTTTCTTGGTTTTACAATTTAGATTATTTATATGTTATTAGATATGCTTGGCTGACACAGAAATTACTCTAGCTCCTGCTCCCAATTGTAAATGAGATGTTGCTTCTCAGACAGCATTCATAAAACACACAAAGGGGACTGCCAAGGGTTATGATTTTAATCTTGGATGGTATGAAAGACCTGAT